GAGCTGTAGTCCAACCCTCCCAGAGAGGGCACAAAGGCATATCTATTTCCAGGGCTCTCCCAACTGGGCAACTTTAAGACCTGTGGCTTTCAATTCCCAGAATCCCCCAGCCAACAGGTGGATGATGGTGATGGTGATGATGATGTAAGAAGGTTTAACTCAATTTATCTTCCTGTTCATTGGCCAATTTGGCTGGGAAGTCCAGGAATTGACCCAAAACACGGAGAAGAGGCAGAAATGGCTGGTGCCCCATTCCGGCTGTGTCCCTTTCCTCGTTTCCTAGACCTTGGCTTTGTCTTCCCCAAATATTGCAAATAGGGACCTTGGAGGTCTTCTAGTCCAACCCCACGCCCCCCACCCCCTGGTACAAGGCAGCAGGAGCCTTACACTAGTAGTCCTCAACTTACGACTATCCTTAAGCCCAAAATGTCCGTTGCTAAGCGTTAGAGTTGCGAAGTGAATTTTGCCCCATTTTACGACCTTTCTTGCCATGGTTGTTAAGTGAATCCCTGCAGGGGTAAGTTAGTCACACGGTCGTTAAGCGGATCTGGCTTACCCCCCCCCCTTGACTTTCCTTGTGGGAAGGTCCCAAAAGAGGATCACGTGACCCCCATGGGACGCTGTGACCGTCATAAATAGGAGTCAGTGGCCGAGCAGCTGAATTTTATTTTTTTTAAAATAATTTTTATTAAGTAAACATTTAAAAGCAGGTTGAACACAGTGTGACTTTTCTGGCTGTTATTTTGGCATACATACTGTACCATATACCATATATACCATATATCTCCCTAGTCATTGATCTTTTATACCATTTACATATTGCATTTTATACTATTTACATATTTATATACTAGCTGTACCCGGCCACGCATTGCTGTGGCTCAGTCTGGTTAAATGGAAAAGAAAGAAAAGAGAAAGCGCACGTTTGTAATATGTTTAATTTCACAATGCTTGTCAAAAAAGCATGTTTTTACCTGTCACAGGTGTGACATCTATATAATATAGGTATATAAAAACACTGCGCGTATTCGAATGCAACGTTGTGTCAAAATTTCAAAGCAATCGGTGAAGAACTTTCGGAGATTTAAGATTTTGAACAAACGAACATTTACATTTTTATTTATATATATAGATTTATACACGGATTTACGTCTATTTATAACGTAACGTTCCCTTCTTATTTCATATTTTTTCTGATCTCTATCTTACGCTCAGATTGAAGTTGGAAATCTACACTTTCTCTCTTCTGGACGAGCTTTCTCTGTTCTGACTTTTTCTCCTCGAGTCTCACCCATAGTACATCTTATCCCAAACTTCTTAATACTCCGTTTCATCCTTGTCTTTAATTTCTAAGGATAATCTCTATCCATCTCTGCACATATCAAAATTTTTTTAATTAGTTCACTCTCCACCGGGGAATCTCCGTTTTTCCAGTTCTGGGAAATACACCAACCTTGCTGCTGTTATGATATGCAACACTAGATATGTCTCTCCTTTGTTAAAGTTCCCATCTATCATTCCCAGTAAAAACAATTCTGGTCTGGAATCTATCTTCAGTCAAGCAGCTGAATTGTGATCCCGTGACCAAAACGGTCATTAAGTGGGAAAAATAGTCATAAGTCACTTTTTTCTCAGGGCTCTTGTGACTCTTTCAACGGTCACTAAACGAACAGCCTTACCGAGGTCACCACTCCCCGTTGACCACGATAGCAGCCATCCTAAATATGAGCCAGCCGTGTGCTGCAGCTGCCAAAAAGGCCAACACGGTGCTAGGCTGCATTAACAAGGGGATAGAATCAAGATCACGTGAAGTGTTAATATCACTTTACAATGCCTTGGTAAGGCCACACTTGGAATCCTGCATCCAGTTTTGGTCACTGCGATGTAAAAAAGATGTTGAGACTTTAGAAAGAGCACAGAGAAGAGCAACAAAGATGATTAGGGGACTGGAGGCTAAAGCATACAAGGAACGGTTGCTGGAATTGGGTATGTCTAGTTTAATGAAGAGAAGGACGAGGGGGGACAGGATAGCAGTCTTCCAGTATCTCAGGGGCTGCCCCAAAGAAGAGGGAGTCAAGCTCTTCTCCAAAGCGCCTGAAGGCAGGACAAGAAGCAACGGATGGAAACTCATCAAGGAGAGAAGCAACCTGGAACTAAGGAGAAACTTCCTGACAGTAGGAACAATTAACCAGTGGAACCACCTGCCTCCGGAAGCGGTGAATGCGCCAACACTGGAAGTTTTTAAGAAGAGACTGGACAGCCATTTGTCCGAAATGGAATAGGGTTTCCTGCCTGAGCAGGGGGTTGGACTAGATGACCTTCAAGGTCCCTTCCAACTTTACTATTATTATTATTATTATTATTATTATTATTATTATTATTATTATTATTATTATTATTATTATTATTATTATTATTATTATCCAGGCTTAACTGTTATCCGTGTTTGTTGTGCTCTGCAGGAACCCAGGATCCCTAAGAAAGACCCCCCAACCCCACCCTGGAGTTGACCCTCGGCTCAACCTCTGCTCCCCTAGAGAGCCCCAGACTTTTCCGATGGTCCCTATCGGGCCCGCTTTCCCAGCCCCTCCAGGCCCTCCCCTCCCCTCCCGGCCCCCCCACCCCGGCCCAGGCAACCTGCCCATTGTGCGATGTGTCACTCGTCAAACACGTTGCGGGCCGAGGCAAGCTGGGCTGGTGAAAAGCGCAGCGGGCGGCTGCACTGCGCCACTAATTAGGGCCAGCGGCAGAGGGTTCCCATACACACCTGCAGGGTCATGTGACTTGGGGGGCACTGGGGGGGGCTTGTGGTACCAAGGGATGGACTGGACAGGGAAGGTTTTGCAAAAAAAACCAACAAAAAAAACACAAAGACTTGCCTGCCTAATCCCATTTGCAAGGTTGAATGCAGCATTTTTCAAACTTGGCAAGCTTAAGGGAGGAGGAGGAGGAGGAGGACTTCAACTCCCAGAATCCCCCAGCTGGCATGCTTTAAAAGGGGTGGACTTCAACTCCCAGAATCCCCCAGCCGGCATGTTTTAAGAGTTGTGGGCTTTGACTCTCAGAATTCCCCAGCCGGCATGCTTTAAAGGGGGTGGACTTCAACGCCCAGAATGCCCCAGTCAGCGTGTTTTAAGAGTTGTGGACTTCAGCTCCCAGAATCCCCCAGCTAGCATACATTAAAAAGGGTGGACTTCAGCTCCCAGAATCCCCCAGCTAGCATACATTAAAAAGGGTGGACTTCAGTTCCCAGAATCCCCAGCCAGCACTCTTTAAGAGGGATGGACGCCAACTCCCAGGATTCCCCAGGAAGCACTTTTTAAGAGGGGTGGACCAATTCCCAGCATTCCCCAGCAAGCATGCTTTAAGAAGGATGGACTTCAACTCCCAGAATTCCCCAGCAAGCATGCTTTAAGAAGGATGGACTTCAACTCCCAGAATCCCCCAGCAAGCATGTTTTAAAAGTTGTTCACTTCAGCTCCCAGAATCCCCCAGGAAGCATGCTTTAAAAAGGGTGGACTTCAATTCCCAGAATCCCCCAACCAGCATGCTTTAAGAGAGAAGGACTTCAACTCCCAGCATCCCCCAACCAGCATGCTTTAAGAAGGGTGGACTTCAACTCCCAGAATGCCCCAGCCAGCGTGCTTTCCGATGCTCTGAGCAAGGGAAAGGTGAACAAAACAGCCTTGTGCCTTCCTTCCTCCCAGGATACTCCCCCTTGTTTGCTGTTGTGTCGGTTAATAACAAAACTCAGCGAGTCTCCAACTTCCGTCAGGCCGGTTGGTTCTTGCTTGAGCTGCTCCTTCCCACCTGCGGGACCCGCTCAAGGTCACGGGGAGCCTCTGGATGACCACAAGGGATCCCGGGACAAGGAAGCTTCAGGAAACCAAGAGGGCCTTTTTAGCAAGGATCTGGTTTATTTTTTTTTATTTAGCGTGTGGCGTGTCATCCGTGCCCTTTCAAGGCCTGTCAACACTCCACTTAGATACACGGGAAGACACAGAGGTTAGAAAGATCTGCACAGCTGATCCTCCACTTACCACGGTCCGCTTAGTGACGGTTCAAAGTTACAACGGCACCGGAGAAAGGGACTTACGACTTTCCCCCCCACATTTACAGCATTATGCGATCCCTAATTCGGAGGCTTTTGCAACGGGCTCGGATTTATGACGGCCGCAGCATCCCGGGGGTGGGTGGGAGGGGCGTCACGTGATCCCCTTTTGCGACCTTCTCACAAGCGAAGCCAACGGAGTCGCTTAACGACCGCGTGACTACTGCGACAAGTGCAGCAATTCACTTAACAACGGTGAAATGGGGCCGAACTCGGTAAAGGAACGCCTCGCTTAGCGACAGAAATTGTGGTCGCAAGCCGAGGGCTGCCTGCATTCAGATACCAGCGTCTGGGTCGCTAACCGCTGAAGGGCAGCATCGTAGGTGACCTCGGTTTAACGCGGGTCACCGAATCCCGGCAGGCGCGGTGCGAGGTGCGAATCCTGCTCAGGGCGGCCCGTTCTTGGTGAGGCGCAGGAAGTCCTCAAGTTACGGCCACAATTAATTCCTTTATCTGAAGCGGTAGAGGGTCTCCTGCTTGTGCAGGGGGTTGGACCAGAAGACACCCCCCAAACTCTGTTATTCTCCCAACTCCGTTATTCTTTCTTTATTCTTTTTTTTGAAATAGACAGACTCCAGTGCCCATGCTTCTCACTGACCGGGGATAACGAGATCCATCCTCCAACAACTCGCCGTTCAACCACTCTAGGAGAGTCCCAGCGGGCAGGAAATGCATTGGGGGAATAAGAAGGCAATAACAGCCAGGATTTTAGCACGACAGCTAGGACGTCTGCCCACGCACGAAGGCCAGGCAGATTCGAACCCAGCTCTTTTCTCCCACCCGAGCGAACAAAGCCGTAACTTTCTCACAACTCGACACGGTGCCTAAAAATGAGAGCGCTCGCCCCTTTGCTTGTTCCCTCAACGCCCCCCCCCTCAAATATACTCACTCAGCCTCGGGTGGGTGATGTAGTTGCGGGTCACAGCGTGGAAATGTTCCTTGACCCCCATACTGACCTCCACCTTGGTAGCCATATTCTTTTAAAAAACAACAACGCTGAGTTGCAGGAAAGCAAGGCAGCGTCCAGCAACTGGCTGTTTTTATACCAGATCCAGAGACCGGCAGGACAGTTTGGCCCTGCCCTGGGTGTGTTACGTTTGCACACACACAGCCAGATCTGTTTGCTGTAAACTTGGAGGCAGCTGTAGGGTTGGGACGTTCCTGCCTCGCCTTGTGTGGTGCAG